CAGCAGGAATGGAAGTTTGTGACATCTGTTAACACAATAGACAAATCTAGCAGAGCATTTTTAGTCACAGATAAGGTCATTCAGGTCACCAACAAAAACCCACCAGACATATTTATGCATGATGGGCTCAGACAGATCAGCGATTTTCACAACAGACAACATCCTATGTTTGCATGCATGTACTAATGCAATGCACGGGGCATGTTTAGGAAGCATCCAAGTACTGTAGCACACATGGCATGCCGGTGCAGCCTTAAGCACACCACAGCCGTCATAATCCAACATGCGCAGCTGTAAAGAGGTTCACATCAGCACTCATGTGCAGCCGTGACCCGTGCCAACAAGGTGATTACCTCTCTTGAGGAGGTAGATGAGGAAGACCTCAGCTGGCCAATAATGTCTAGTGAGCCATATGACCCAGAGACGTGTCACTGCATATCTGGATCATGCATCTGTTTCACCTACATTTAGCGGAGCACAGACTACATGTAAATCTGAGCTATAGGCTCTCACACTCCAGTCGGATGAGAGGAGACATCGATGTCTCACTTACCGCGGAGATACTGAAAGAATCCCGTCACCAGATTCAGAGATGTGGTCTTTTTCACGGCTACGTCCTTAAAATGAGCCATTGTGTGCCCTGCATTTGTTTCTTTGTGTCCTTCATGTGTGAAAGTGCGCAAGTGTCATCCAGGGAGGAAAACCAGATTAGCTATCCTTTATTTCCTCCGGGAAGCAGAACAGAGCAGGCGGAGGAGCTTTCCGTGTGAAAGCACAGCGCGACTGAGTGCTGGAGGATGAAACCTCCCCCTCCTCTTGTTGTCTCTCTCCCTCTCCCTCCTCCGCTGTGGATAGGCTGCTAATCGAGGGCCGTTTTTATGAGCTAGGCGACTTCCTGTTGTTGGTGGAGCTGGGGAGTCGTGCTGGTGTGGATGCTCCGTTCAGGTCTGTTCTAGTTCTAGCAGTATCCCACAGCTGCAGCCATACTAACCGGCTATGGCACTGATCGGCCAATCAGCACGCGGGGGGGGGCTGTGATGTCACCGGGCAGCTGGTGTTATCCTGATTTATATGGGTGGGTGGGGGTCAGTACTTGTGCTACACAGCTTGAACTCCACCGGGCCTCCGCTACAAGCACCGCAGATACCCTAATGCAGGAATGGCTTAACAAATAATCAGATTCAATGCAGTCCAGAATGCTATACAACAAAGGACTTATGACATGACACAGTTACTCTGGGTTTGAATGTGTTTGCATGTCTAAGTAAGAAACAAAGCAAACAGAAAGTGGATTTTCTGTCTTTACAATGACACATAAAAATATGTTAATACATGTTTCTGGTCTTATTGTGTGCAATTTATTAATTAAACATTATTACGGGTGTTTAATGAGGCAAGAATCACAATATTGCTTCGTATTAGTAACACTTAGGCTAGTATTAAACTTTGGACCATAATTTATCTTACAGCATTTATTATGCAGCAGCACAACTGTTTTCAACATTGATAATAATAAGAAAAGTTTCTTAAGCAGCAAATCAGCATATTAGAATAATTTCTGAAGGATTATGTGACACTGAAGACTGAAGTAATGATGCCAAAAATTCAGCTTTGCACCCCAGGAATAAATTACATTTTACAATATATTCAAAAACAAAATAGTTATTTTAAATTGTAATATTTTTTCATTATTTTATATCCTTTACTATGTGATCTAATAAATGCAGCTTTGTTGCACTTTTGAATGGCAGTACATCAAAAGTAAATGAGTAAAATCAAGCTCTACTATTTTCACATTTAATATTCTGTTTTATTCAGACATACATTTATGGAGTTATGTTGACTTTAAATCCTTTAAAGTCTTTTAATTTTGTACGTGTCTATGGCAAAAGTCATTCATATCATAAATTAAATCATACTGAATAACACATGCATTATTTGCAAATGGCTATAAGGCAACTGGGAACCAACTGCACTCAAACTATTGAATCATTTATGTCACAGCCAGTGCAAAGCATCTGCCACCTGCTACGGTGCAGTCAGTGATTATATCACTCTATTATTCCTGACCATCACCCACACACAGCATGAGTTCCACACAAACCCAATCCACCACACAACATACTTATTTGCATCCTGATATATATTTAATTGTGCAATTATAAGACCATCTTATGACCAGAAACGGACATCCCCAATGTTAAGTCTTGATCTTCCAGGCATCCACTGCTTTGTGTTGTCTTGTTTAATAAAACACACTTTATTAAATTACTTAATTCAATCCCATGTTTTCGTGCACTGAAACATAAGTGCATATACAAAATATAACTGTTCTTTCACAAATCCACTTATAGGAAAAATCCATTCTCTCACCGCTCACTCACCGTGGCATAGCTCAGGTATTTTATATCTCAAAAAGTCTTTTGTGTTAAAGATCGAGGAATGTACCTCAAACTGTTTTAGTCACAGAAAATAATGTAATCCATGAAAAAAAGTGCTACTCCCATCACATGTTCATCTAATGAGTCACAATTTGTTTCTATTACTTAACAGGGTTAAAGCTCAGGGATCTTTAAAACGGATTAAAAATTCCTGACATTGTGTGGATTAGAATAAGGTGAGAAAATGTATTGTATTTATTATATCTAGCATACATACTGTATATATACATTTATATAGACAGACAGACAGACAGACAGACAGATAGATAGATAGATAGATAGATTATGGAGCTGTCCAGTCCTGAAATATTATCGCATAATAATGTAAAGACTTTCAGGATACAATACAGAGTTTAAGGCTAAAATTTGCAAAAGTCCCACAGTTCTCCATCAGTAATCAATGGATGATCATTAGTGTTTAGCATCTACAGTCAATTCCAGTGCTGCAACATGACAAACTGGATTGTTCCCACTATAATCAAAAAAGCAGCTTTATTGATGGTCTTGTTGTAGCACTGCCCACTTGCACTCACACAGTGTTGAGAATTAGAGTTAATTAAGTATTAATGAATGTACAGTCACTTTCGGTCTACACGCAGAAAAATAAGAGAAACAAGTGAGTGGAGCATCTGAAATTTAAATGAGTGCGTTCAGCACAAACTCGGGACAGATGATATCATGGGCAACAGGTCAGATGTTGCTGTCATCTGTTGAATGGAGTGCAGTCTTTAATACTCTACACATCACTCTTGCAGTTTCAAAAGAGAAATGCAAACGCTGATTTTGTGCATTAGGCCAAAAAATGATACATTTAAGATATTTAGAAAAAAACACTGAAATAGTGCCATCTAGTGTCCTATTAAAAACATTCTGTGACCACATTAAATGGCCTGCATCTATATTCAACCATCTATTTTGATCAATGTAATAATGATGATAGTCAAAACAACTCACCTGTATTTACATAGCGCTTTTTACAATACAAAGCAGCTTTTCAAAGCAGCTTTACAGTGTTAAACAAGAAAATTGTCACAAATCCTGTCCATGGACTTCTGTTCGATCGCCAATCCCATGTTTTCGTGCACTGAAACATAAGTGCATATACAAAATATAACTGTTCTTTCACAAATCCACTTATAGGAAAAATCCATTCTCTCACCGCTCACTCACCGTGGCATAGCTCAGGTATTTTATATCTCAAAAAGTCTTTTGTGTTAAAGATCGAGGAATGTACCTCAAACTGTTTTAGTCACAGAAAATAATGTAATCCATGAAAAAAAGTGCTACTCCCATCACATGTTCATCTAATGAGTCACAATTTGTTTCTATTACTTAACAGGGTTAAAGCTCAGGGATCTTTAAAACGGATTAAAAATTCCTGACATTGTGTGGATTAGAATAAGGTGAGAAAATGTATTGTATTTATTATATCTAGCATACATACTGTATATATACATTTATATAGACAGACAGACAGACAGACAGACAGATAGATAGATAGATAGATAGATTATGGAGCTGTCCAGTCCTGAAATATTATCGCATAATAATGTAAAGACTTTCAGGATACAATACAGAGTTTAAGGCTAAAATTTGCAAAAGTCCCACAGTTCTCCATCAGTAATCAATGGATGATCATTAGTGTTTAGCATCTACAGTCAATTCCAGTGCTGCAACATGACAAACTGGATTGTTCCCACTATAATCAAAAAAGCAGCTTTATTGATGGTCTTGTTGTAGCACTGCCCACTTGCACTCACACAGTGTTGAGAATTAGAGTTAATTAAGTATTAATGAATGTACAGTCACTTTCGGTCTACACGCAGAAAAATAAGAGAAACAAGTGAGTGGAGCATCTGAAATTTAAATGAGTGCGTTCAGCACAAACTCGGGACAGATGATATCATGGGCAACAGGTCAGATGTTGCTGTCATCTGTTGAATGGAGTGCAGTCTTTAATACTCTACACATCACTCTTGCAGTTTCAAAAGAGAAATGCAAACGCTGATTTTGTGCATTAGGCCAAAAAATGATACATTTAAGATATTTAGAAAAAAACACTGAAATAGTGCCATCTAGTGTCCTATTAAAAACATTCTGTGACCACATTAAATGGCCTGCATCTATATTCAACCATCTATTTTGATCAATGTAATAATGATGATAGTCAAAACAACTCACCTGTATTTACATAGCGCTTTTTACAATACAAAGCAGCTTTTCAAAGCAGCTTTACAGTGTTAAACAAGAAAATTGTCACAAATCCTGTCCATGGACTTCTGTTCGATCGCCACCAGAGGTCACCCTTCCGTTACATTGACTCTCACACTACACAGACTGTTACACATCACCCTGGACTACATTTCCCATGCTCCATTGCACTAATCACAAGCTCACCTGAAACCCATCACACACAGCTGCTACCAATAACACACACTATATAAATCAGTCTCACACCACCATTCAACGCCGAGTATTGTTTAGCGCTTATCGCCACGTCAGTGATAGCAACGTTACGGCGCCATTTCCGAGTTTTGTCTAGTTCCTAGCTCTAGTCTAATCACGTCTAGTTTTGTGCCTGATTGCCTGTTTCCTGATCTCCTGCCTGTCTTGGATTCTTCTTTTGCCTAGCTCTCAGGACTTTGTTTGCCGATCTCAGACCCACGCTAGCCTTTGGATTACTCTTCATCTTGCCTCTTCTATTACTGTTTGCTGTGTATCGACCCATGCCTGTTTCAAGACCACGCCTTTAAATAAAAGCATGCAGATGGATCCGCACGTCTCATGTCTCTGTCGCCCCGTAACAAAGATAGTGATTCCATGATGCAAACAGACCTCAATTTTGCTGTAAATCAGCTCTAAAAAGCAGCTCATTATTCAGCTGAAATCAGTTCATTGTTGATAGTGGTGTCTTTAATGATAGAAAGCATTAAATCAGAATCAGGTTTGAGCATTTAACTGCTGTAGACATAACATGTGAACACCTTTCTCATTGTTTTAACAATATATTGAAACAGTTACGGATCTAACACCAACAGTTTTATAATTCAATCAAGACAACAACCTTCTTATACAAACTTTGTCTCAGTAAAACAACAAGATCCTTTGTCGTTGGAGAGATTTCATCTGATATGTGTCTAAAGGAAATGGCTGCTGTATCAAAATCATTCGTGCCAATGAAAGGAAGATGGCAAACGGTTTTACCACACGCTCGAAACAGGCATGCGCCAGTCACCACCACGGAGAGGGAAACCAAAAGAAGTTACTCTGAAAACAGTAACCACAGACCTTCTGTCGCATACACCACACATCGCCTTATTCGCAGTTGATGTGCCAAGTTAACTAGCACACAC